CCATTGTATTGCCGATCATTCTTAAGACTGGCGAATTTTGTGGCCGAGTCATCGGGGACGGTGACCTTTTACTGCCTCACCAACTACAACTACACCTTATGAATAGGAAAGTTTCGCCTATAAGAAACAGTCGGTCCTTCAACTGAAAGGCTTACGGGGACCTCTGACATCCTAGCTTGTTGCTTATCTCGTTATGAAGCATGCGATCGGTCAACATAAACTGGAAGAATAAATGGATAAACACGAATATTTCAAAATCATTGGTGCTTATGCCTCATTGTCATCGCACAATGCCGTTTTCCGAACTAATGTAAGTAGGTCAATTGTCCCTGTTATTAGGTAGAACGGTCTAAACATTGCATCAATTGTAGGGGGTGGACAAATTTTCCTTCGGGACGATGAGTTTAACTGACTTCTGTCTATGTCCTCACTCCCTTCTCATATGACATTTGATATGCGTCTACTCTGCAGCTCGTGCTCCCACCTGACTCGCCTCGACGTCTCCTGGTGTGTCATTGGGGATGACGGCCTGGATGCCATCTCGCGAGGCTGCCCGGGCCTTCAGCATCTCCGGGTTGTTGGCTGCCGGGAGGTCACCAGTCGTGGTGTCGGTTACATTGCCAGTCGTTGTCACGGCCTCCTCCTTCTCAACCTTAACTATTGTGGCCAAGTAAGTGTACATTTTTAGTCTTTGCCAAAATTGCGGATTTCGGGATCCATGCATTCATTAGCGGAGCAGCACCGAACGTTTTAGCATTGGCGGTTTTTTTAACTGCACCTCCTTTGATGCACTTTAACATTTTCCAAATTTGTCTAACTTTCTTTATTATCATTAACTTTATACCTTCAGTCAAAAGACACAACTAAAAGTTCTACTGGCCAGCTTTTCCTGCCTCTAGTTAGTTTGTTACAGGGAGCAACCTTGAGGTAATACAGCTGCTACTTCGAATTACTGAACAAAACAATCCTACGTCCTAGGGACAGGCTACACCTTCTAGTCGCAATCCCGTTTTCTAGTATTTGTTACTGTCACACGCGACAACAAGAAGTCCTGTTGAGATATCCCGCCTCAAGATCAACAGCATTGGCCAACCCCGTCCCACGACCTCTTCTCGAGTAACGCCTCTTGCGGCCAGAGCCCGATAGACCGTCAAAGTGAGCACTTGCGCGCCTTTGAATTTCCTGCCATCTGATTATAGGGATAGTTTCTCTGTCTTCGCACTTAACATTGCGGTGAAAATAGGGGAAAACTCTTCTCGCTGCAGTTATTACGGTAAGGATAGTGGACACGGACCTTCTACGTGTTCACCTGTCCAATTTGCAGTATATGCATAACCTTCAGACTCGGCAAATCAAAGAGCCCATGCATTCCGTCAGATTTTAAAGGAAATCAAACGGATCTTCGAAAAGTATCAGATTTGGGTGGTACGGGATGATGTCTATGACAACATCCAATTTCTCTAGCTCTCCTTCCCCCACCTGGGCCCCGTGCCGAGACAACCAAGAAGACCGGAGGCGGGAGGGGACGCGGGTGGCCGGCACGACAAAAACCAGCACCTAGGCGTACTACCACACCTCTAGTTAACAACAAACACTTCATCAGGATATTAACTAGCAACAATAATAATTGGGGGGGGGGGGGCGGAAGAG